CCTCCCTCCTCCCCCCCCCCCCCCCCCAGTCTCTCCCATCCATCGCCTCCTATGTTCTCCTCCTCCTCTCCTCACTTCTTCCCTGGGAATCTGCTGCCCCTTAGCTTCTGCCATCTCCAACCCCAGGGAACTCTCAGGTCCCCAAATTTTGCCGTTTGGCGAAATCCCGCTTTTTCTTGGGAGACGCTTCTGCACCTTCCCAGGGTTGGGTTAGAAGGTGTCTAAGTTCTTGCAGCCTGTGGCTCCAGGGTCTTTTCTTGATGCCCCCCCTCCTTGAAATCACCATGGCCTCCTGCCTGCACTCGGTCTCTGGTACAAGCTGGACTCTCCTGCCTCCTGCTGATCATCTGGCTTCCCCAGCCTGGCTCTGGCTATAGCGAGTCCCTGCGCAGAACCAAGGTGGCCAGGCCGAGGGACCGAAGGCTCTTCCCAGCAGTTGCACGTCCTGCAGCCCAAAAGCCCCTCCAAGGCTCCCTCCAAGGCCAAGGCTGAAGCTAAACCGAGAGTGTCAGACAGGCAGAGTGGTGGGAGCTTCTTCAGGCCAGGCATCTCCAGCCAGGCCACCCTGTCTGTAGGATCTTTCTCAAAAACCACTGTAAATTGTTTTTAAACACCTGGGTGAGGGGGCAGGGCTGAGGATCAACCCCAGGACTTTTGTACTGGGCTACACCCTGAGCCCTTTTAAAATTTTTATTTTGCTAAGTTGAGGTGGGGGCTCTCTGAGGATCTGGGCACCTTAGAGGGGACTTCGGGCGTCCTGCTTCAGTTCCAGCACTGGTTCAGCCAAGGCAGAGGAGTTGGCCCTGACATGGTGCCTTCGGTGCCTCTCCGGCCTGCGGGCCAGATGCCGAAGCTGCTTCCGAATGGCCCACAGCACCAGGTACACATCTCGCAGCAGCTCAGCCTCAGGTGTGTCCAGGGGGGACGAGGTGCTCACTTGGGAGGAAATGGAGGCGCAGGTGACGGGTGACTGCAAGAGAAATGAGGATGTGCACAGCAGGAGGGACCACCAGCAAATGGCCCGCAGGGGACTCCACCAATTCTACCTCTTCCTTCAGGTCAGCACAGACACCATCTGCTCCAGGAAAAGCAAGCCTTTTCTGCCTGCATGAAGAGTAGAGTTCATCTTTTCTACCCTGGCGTTTACTCTATTTATTCTCTCATTCTCATATATTCTCTCTCTCTCTCTCTCTCTCTCTCTCTCTCTCTCTCTCTCTCTCTCTCTCTCTCTCTCTCTCTCTCTCTCCTCTCTCCCCCCC